AAAGAAAGAAAGAGAGAGATAGATAGAGAGAGTAAGAAAGAAAGAGATAGATAGAGAGAGAGAGAGAGAGAAAGAGAGAGAGAGAGAGAGAGAAAGAGAGAGAGAGAGAGAGAGAGAGAGAGAGAGAGAGAGAGTAAACTCGTAAACTGTGAATGGGGAGAAAAAAAAATTATAATTTAATTAATCTGATGAACAAACGGCGGTCGTATGCGTGTGTATGCGTGTATGCGTGCGTGTCTGCGTGTGTGATACACAATGATAATGATGATTGTTTCCGATAGTTTGTAATCGAATGCGAAATATTGTTAAAAATTCACAATGTGTGTGCGTGTGTGTGCGTGTGCCAATGAAAAAGGTCATTACCACACAATGCGAAAGAATTATTGGCATTTCAGGTACAACACGCGGGCGGTGATCGGGGAAGAGGGAGAGACGGAGGGGAGGGGAAAACTGTTACTTCACGTCCTAATTTCAAAAAGGGAATAAAAAAAAAAAAATGATATAATCAAAGCGTTATTAGTTCATCTTTTGGAAGCAAAAAAAATATCGCATTACTATTATTTTTTTATTGTTTTTTTTTTTTTTTTTTAATGTTGGTACGAATGAATTTTTCACGCAATTTTTCTTTTTTTTTTGTGAGCCAGAGTTCAATATTCTTTTTTTTTAATAACACATCATTTCACACGAACGTTTTCTCATATAATTCAGTAAATGATTTTTTTTTTTTTTTCATTCTATCTTTCTTTCTTTCTATCTTTTTTCCTCTTTTTTTTTCAACATCGAAACTTGATTAGAATTGCCAAACGTGTTTTTTTTTTTTTTTTTTGTGTTTTGTTTTCTAATGTTTTTTGTTTTTGTTTTCTTTGATTAACACGAATGTGCGTGTGTTTTCTTTTTCGATTTGTTTGTTTTTTTTTTATCGATTCTGTCTTTGTTTTTCCTTCTTACTTGCAATAGAATAATTATTCCTTTAGAAAATCAATTGATTTTCATAACGTTTTTTTCGAAACGAAATGTGGAGAAAAAGAAAAAATGTCACGACCTTTTATTATTTTCGAAAACGAAAACGAAAAAAATTTTTTTTTTAATTTTTAACAATAGCAAATCATCCCTCGAAAAATAAGAATTTTTTTTTTTTCTTAACAAAACAAACACAAAGAAAATTCGTTACATAAGAAAAGAAAGAATAAAGAGGAGGAAAAAATAGAAGAAAAAAAAAATGGCGTTTTAAAACCGTGTGACACCTTTAATTTTTGTCACATTTTTTTTTTCCTTGTAACGGGTCCCTTTTAAATTAAAAATCACCGTTCCCCTTCCCTCCCTCCCTCCCTCCCCTCGAATCTTTCTTTCCTGAGTCCGTGCGTGCGTCCGTACGTATGTGTGTATCTTTAAAAAAAATTATTATTATTATTATTATTATAATTATTATTTATTCCGTTTGTATTTTGAGTTTGCACATGGTGGTGTGTGTGTGTGTTTGTCGCACATTTGTACAAACAACAACAACAACAAATATGGCGGTAGCGCCTGCGTGTAATTATCTCGACTCTAATAAATTTACTTACTCTCTCTCTCTCTCTCTCTCTCTCTCTCTCTCTCTCTCTCTCTCTCTCTCTCTCTCTCTCTCTCTCTCTCTCTCTCTCTCTCTCTCTCTCCCTGTTTTCTGCAAGAAATGATAATTTTTTTTTTTTTTTTGGAATCTGATGAAGTAAAAATTTTTAATGAAGGGAGAATTATACTACATTATCATTATCATTACTATTATTATTATTATTAGTAGTATGACCGACAAATAAAATAACATAAAATGAATTTTTTATGTTAAATATATATATATATACTCGTGACGTAATCGCGAGAAGAAGAATTTTTTTGCGTTTTTTTATCGTAATAACCGATTTACATTATTATTATTATTATTATTATTATTATTATTATTATTATTATTATTATTATTATTATTATTATTATTATTATTAGTGAGCACAAGTATAGAATCGAGTTGAAAAGTAATAATAATAATAATAGTAAAGAAAGGTGAATTCGTACATGCATGGATGTATGGGTACTTGAATATTTAAATTAATGCACCCCTAAAAAAAAAAGGACAAAAGGAGGGAAGGGATGGAAAGGGAAGGAGGGAGGGAGGGGGCATCAGCTGCCGAGTTTGAATTATTATCATTATTATTATTAATATTCGATGCGTATGGATACGTACGTACACACACACAAAAAAAAAAAATTTATGTTATTAGAATTCCTGGCTAAACTCGTTTCGTCCCAGGATTAAACTGGTTTTTTTTTTCGGATTATCCCGCATGCGCGTTTAGTAGGTACAACCGTATATTTCAAATTAGTTTTAAGGTTTATAAAAACCTTAAAAAAAGAAGAAGAAGAAATTTTTTTTTTTTTTTTAATTACGATTTCTATTTTTTTTTTTTTTTTTTTTTATACATCGTAAGCCGGATAATAACGTGTAATTGATATATGTGTGTGTGTG